CGACCTCCTCGTCCTCTTGAAGATTTGGACCCTGAGAAGGTAAAGCTGACTTATATCGCGTAGCACAATGCATTAATGCTTCTTTTCAGGATGGGTGGCTGTACTGGCGAGCTTTGCGGATTAGGCAAATCAAGCAAAATCGAAGGATAGAGGAATTGAAGACTAGGTCAGATGTTCTGTTTTTTTCACTACCCCAAATCAGACTTTTTTCTCAGGTTCTTGCATTTACAAAATAGCCCAAGTATGAAGAAGTATAGGAGATGGTAGATCTATTTAGTGAGCTGCTAGTTTTGTATGAAGTCCGGCATTTTTTGGATTTATGGAAAGAAGATAAACAATCGAATATGGTTTTGAACATTCAAAGGCAGCATCAAAGCAAAATCTAAGCCCCTCCGATTACCTAGCCTGAAAGTAGACCTCAGGAGAGGAGCATCTGCGTTGGTCCAGTTTTTCAATGTGATCTCTAGATGGAGAAAGTGGATGGAACCAATAAGGTGCTATCAAAGGTGCTACCACGCCCACCCTCTCAACCCCGCCCACTCAGGTGCTGAAAGTTCTGTGTTTTCAGTATAAGGCTCACAGAAATTGGATTTTTCGGGGTTTGAACATTTTGAACTTTATAACTGTAGATGGGTCACGTAAAGGCTTCTCCAGAATGACAATAGCATAGAAGGCAAAATTTTGAGTGGACGCTGCCTTATGACTACTTTCATTTTCATCAGATAAACCTAGCAAAGAACTTGTAAAATCGCATGAATTTTGTGTACAAGCACCTTTATCTTAAGAAAGACGATAAATACTGTACATGACATTCGGATATCGAATAATTAATTACAAACATGTAACAACGTGTATCAAACCAATGCAGTTTCATATTCCAGCCCGTAATGCTCCATTTGATCCGTGTTTATTTTGAACGTACCTGGAATAGTATCATCAGTTAGAAGTAGAAATCAACGAGAAGATTCAAGAAACAACGAAAATGAGTGTTAAGAATGAGGAAGCAGTGTAGACGCTTTGGCACAGATATACAGTAATCTACCGTAACTCTCCTTCAAGTGGCTGTCCGATGTATTCGAATCAAAGAAAGTTTAGTGCTTTCTCTGCATATGATGCAGTGCACATATAAGTTAGCTAACCCTACCCTGGCCATACTTTAGTGGTGCAAAAGGACGTGCTTTGCGGAGAGGGAGGAGGGTTCTATGTGACCAAAGATTTCTGACCTGAATCTCCCCAGTGTTCTCCAAAACTGTTCACTGCAATCCAGTAGTGAGATCCATCATCTTCTTGACCCCATCCTATCAATCGGACTACATGCCAATAGACGATACGATTTTGGAAACCTTCCGCCGGCCGGAAAACACCTGAAAACCCATAAATTATTTGAGATTGGATTTTAAATTTCTACCTTCGGCGTAATGGAGAAACTCTTCTGGAACAGGAAAAGCCATAGTGGTGGGTCCATAGAGTGACAGCTCTTTCTTGATTATGGATCGTATCTGGAAACAAAGTCTAGCACGTATATTTAGGCTGTAATATACTCGGTAACACAAACGAGAGCTCAAGAGATCAAGCTCAAGGACCTAAATTTCCTAATCTGTTCCAGTAAACTCTGAGAAATTTGGAAAATTTAGACTTCTTACAAAAAATTATATGGTAAACAAAAGCTACAAAAAAGAATCATGAAGCAATCACAAAAAGACCCACAAATGCTCTCAACTGATCACCTATCTCAATATCCTATATCGCGCCGAAAGTTCTGTCGTTTCATTTTCAAAAATTTGCAACTTTGCGCAGTCTCAACGGATTTGCTCGCACTTA